ACCGTCAAAATCTCATACCGGCCCATGCCTAGTCAGTACTGCACCTGATCGTGTCTGAATGATCATGGAAGGTAAAATAATGATCACAACTATTACATAATTTTAATTGTGCATCCCAAGCCCATGCCAGTAATAAAAAACCAGCCCAAAGTAGCACAATTACCATGTCCCAAATATAAAAATGTCATTTCCATCCCTAAAATACATATTTTACAGTCACTGTTATGTACATTTATCATAAACACAGCTCAAATGCTTCCTACTAGTGTGGCCCAAAACATTTAGCACAGTTTTATTACAGGTAGAATGCAAAATGTTTCAGTACAAGAATTTCAACCAAATGTAATTTATGCAATATTTTAAACCTTTAACCCGCTGGGGAAAATCAACCCATGGCAACATATTAAAAGCAGCCCAATTTCGTGAAAAAAACAAACAAAACAACAACAACCCTCCCTAGTGAAAAAAAAGTATACTAAGTATACTTGCAGCCAGACTAATTGTCAGTATACTTCAAGTGTGTTAATGATTAGTTAACTTGAAGTGTGCTATTTTGGAACAACTATTTTTGTACTAAGTGTATTTTAGTTGTAATTAAATTATACTAAAGTATAACTTTAAGTGTATTTAGTGTACTTTTCTATGCTAAATTGGAACAACTTCAAGTACACTTAGTACACTTTAACTATATGCCTATTTACATGCTTGATTAGTGATATTAAAGTGTAATTTTTTTGTATTACGAGTACATTGCAAATTAATTATGAGTGTCTTTGAAACACACAAGCAATATACTATAGTGCACTGATCCTTGACTTGGTTGACATCACCTCTCCGTCTTCAAAGACAATTAAAACATCCATTGGGTTCCCTCATGACATTTCCTTTCCTCCTCAGCAGCAATGATGGGGACTGCTGCCTTCTGCACATGGTCAGGCTCCTTTTTCTAAACGCATTAAACAAAAGTGTTAGTATATGTCACAACAAATCATAAAATTAACCCTTGTGTGGAAAGACATATTTACATTTTCATAAGAAAAAGCAGTTATCTAAACTCATTTTATTGTGTTTTTTAGATGGGGATGTAAGCATGAAGAGTTGGCGCGAAAATACTATGAAATGCAACATCGCCTCTCACACTCGGATGTCCTGGTAGAAACAGCTGGATTCCGGATTTCGCTTTCGCATCCTTTTATTGGGGCCTCACCTATGTTCCCTGCCGCTGCTGTGGTTCAGGCATCATAGAAATTAAGTGCCCATTTTGTGCCAAGGACCTCTCTGTAAACGTGGCGGCAAACTTTGCTCCAAACTTTTGCCTTGAAAACGATGAGTGTGGAAGCATCAGACTGAAACGGGACCATGCCTATTATTATCAAGTACAAATGCAGTTATTTAAATTGTTACTGACAAACCTTACTGTGATTTTATACTTTGGAATGAAAGGGACAGTACTTCACCTTTTTTGGAACGAGTGACACCAGATGTGCCATTTTTTGACAAAGAACTGGCATGTGCTACAAACTTTTTTAAGAAATGCATCATGCCAGAGCTGATTGGCAAGTATTTCCAAAACCAGCTGCAGCATTTGATAATAATGGTCAACAGTGGTGCTACTGTCGTGAGCCAGAAGTAGGGGACATGTTGGTCTGTGCATCAGGTTTTTGTTCAGTTAAAAAGTTTCACCAATCTTGCCTTCGCATTAAAATAATTCCTAAACAGTGGGTATGTCCCAGCTGCAGAAAAATGATCAATTCACAAAAAATAAGTAAAAAATTAGTGGTGAGAGTATTTGAAAAAGAGTAAATAGCCCGTTTTGTATTCCTCTATCTTCTTCCCTCTCCTTCTCTCAGGTACTTATTTGTCTGTCCAGAAGCATGTAAAACATCAGTATCTCTTCAAAATGAATGTCACAAGCAACAAGAAATGTATTAAAAAATAGATTTAGTCCAGTTACACATCTACTGTCAGTTGAATTTGCTCAGATATCAAAAGGGTACAACAGATTCTGAGACATTTGTGAGAGCACAACATACTTTCACTATTTTGTCATGGTATATTACATCATTTTCTCTGTCACATTACATTTGCTCAGATATCACTGAAAGGGTACAACAGATTCTGAGACATTTGTAAGAGCACAACTGTTATGTATTTGCCAAAGACCATACAATAACGATGTTCTTTTGAATTGGTGCACTTTTATTTTTACGGATTAACTAAAAGAAAATTCTTACAATCAGAACAGTTCACATACAATCACATTTCTTTCTCCATCTTCACTCCCGCTCTCGGTGCACCCCCCTTTTTATATATATCCCGCCCCCAGTCAACCAATGGGAAGAGAGGTCAAAAGTCACAACATTTACAGAATTCAATACTATTTTCTTAAATACAAAAAAATACATATTAATACAAAACACACCTCCCCTGAAATCTGAAACTCAATTATTCTTATTATTAGTTTCTTTTACAACCTTTATACAACACAACAAAGAACAAAAAAAAAAATTATT